AAGTGCAGGTAACCAAAAGGGGCCAGGGAAGATGGCTCTCTCTCTCTCTCTCTCTCTCTCTCTCTCTCTCTCTCTCTCTCTCTCTCTCTCTCTCTCTCTCTCTCTCTCTCTCTCTCTGACATATACACGTAAACGTGTGTTTGTGAAACGAAATAATCACATTCCACATTTTTATGCAAAAGGTTGACAAGTGCGTCTTTCTGTCGTCTTGCAAAGGCCACTGAACGTGGCAGCCCGACCATTGATCTTTTAAACGTGAGTCGCTGTCACTCTGCACCGTTCACGACTGACTGATCTGGTCATAATATTTGAATTAACATTCCTCTAAGAATTCAGTTATCACAATATCATCATGTTGTTCTGAACTCTTCCAACTAGGATCTTGGCCGTCAGGTTTTTGAGAATTCGTAAGAAATCGGGGTTGCTTTGTTTTTTAACTGCTGTATGTAATGCCTGGCTACGTGAACAAAGATAGTTTCGAAGTCAACGCGTCTGGTCTCCATGACGTGTACTGCGCACAAAAGAAATGTTTGGCAGCGTGGCGAAATCGCGCGCTCGTCAAAATACTGAAATAAAAACACGGACATTTTTTCCACCCGTTGGACAATTTTTACCGATTTTTTTTTTTTCTTCTTTAGATTTTTCAACATTTGGCTCAACATCTTTTGCGTTCATTTAAATACAGTTCGTGTGGATTTTTACTGAGAAACCTTGTTCAATGGAATAAACATGTATGTTTCCTCTCTCCAAGGACATTAAAGCTTTGGAAGTCACAAAACTTTGGCAGCCATTCTCTCACTTATTTTACCCGTGGCACTAGACGACTCCCACCCGTTTCAATCGCAATCTTCTCAATTTCTATTCAAGATAGATGAGTACTTTATTCATCAAAGGCACTATAAATGAAAAGCGTTATGATGATATTAATAACTGTATATGTCCGAAAAATGACAAGCGCTGAATTATACCTTGTCGTGTTACAAAAACTACTGGAAAAATGAGAGAAACGATTCTACCCCCACTTGGATGTAAGCCAACAAAATTAATTCATAGGTGACCTCCTTTAGTGTGAGTAACCTCCTAGAATGCTGACAAAATGTTTGAGGAAAACTTAGCTTTCCCCACAGCTTTTCATTTTGTTTTTTAATTAACCCGCATATCCGTGAAAAGAAAATCCCTGTCATGAGAGAGCAAAACAAAAAAATGTAATAATGGTGGATCTTCCGTTCGTCCAAAAAGTGACAGTTGTAGTTTACTTTCCGTAACCAATATTTCATTTGGTACTTTATCTTTTCTTCTGTCCCTGTTTTCGCCCTTCGTATCGTGACTTTGCATGCTGAAAAACTACCTTCGTGGAATATTCGATACCCTGTACGTACTTGGAATATCAATTCTCCTCTGTTCAGCAATTCCATACACAATTCGCCAGGGATTTGCTACTGTTAGAGCAGTTGTTGTTGTTGTTATTGTTGTTGTTGTTGTTGTTGTTGTTGTTGTTGTTGTTGTTGTTGTGATTGACTTTAGGTAAACAGATGAAATCTTTTTCAATATCATTTCACCCCCCGCCCGATCTCAAACTGAACGTCAGTGCTCCGAAGAGTTTGATACTTACGGTATAATAAAACGGAACAGAGGACATAGTGCCATCACATGTTACAATTGAAGAGAACCTTCAGAACTTTTAACTCTTTTTTCACTCTTTTTTCACTCTTTTTTCACTCTTTTTTCACTCTTTTTTCACTCTTTTAGATGGTTGGGGGGTGCTTCTAGTACGTCTTACTTCTGTTCTCTAAGCCTATCGTTTTCTGTAAATTAGTCTCGCTCTTTCTTGGCCAAGAAAGAACGAGACTGATATACAACAACCAACACATCATACCCTTGTGGCTCTGTTTACTCAGATTAAACGAAACTCTCTTAGATATCGATACCAAAAAGGTTATTCGGTATCATATTGAAGGGCAACTAGGATGTAAAGAGCAATCACACTTGTAGGAACTCGCTCCCACGACAAATTACTCAACAGGCTGAAATCGTGACCTGAGAAAGGAAGGGTGCTTCAGTTTATGTAGCTACCGTTTTTATATGTAGTGTCTTCTGTGGCTTCATTTTGTACTTTATTTGGTTAATTCGGCTGTAAGCCTTTGAAACCTGGTGACTAATTATATTAAACTGCTGTGCTTAATTATGTACCATTGTGCTTCCACAGTCGGTGAGGGTGTTGGTCTAATTACGTATCTAAACTTTCCACGAAGTTGTTAAATTAGTAAACAATACGGACATGCGGACAACATTGTTCAGTGACGATTTTTGACGACAATCTTTATCTGAGTACAAAATCATGTAGCCGCAAAAAGCAATAATGGATTGCTCGAGTTATTTATTAGGTTAGGTAGTCTACAAGCTTTTAATATAACTTTGCGGGTGGTTAGAGCTTGCACGTCCTACTTCTTTACTTTCCCGCTGTTATTTCTATCTGTCTTACTTTTTCACGGCAATAAATGACCATTATTGTGTAAATGTGTTTCTCTGTATTCAAATTTTTTAAAATTAAAAAGATAACTATAAGAAAACACAACTTTTTAATATATACCAATCAGTGAAAGTTTCAAATGTCTCAGGAGTAATCGGTGCCACCAGCAGATTTAAGAACAAGAAAGAACATCTATAGATACCTACAAGGTCATTGGTTTTCCTTGGGGATTGTTTTAAAATTAGGTATCTCCCTAATAATTAATTAGTAATATGTGTCCTGTGCTATCTACGCGCAGCAACATTAAATGTTAATGTGTCCGCTGGTGCAGATGGAGATGCGGGTGGTTGGAAGGTGCCACTGGTAGGTACGCTTCTTCGCATTCCCTCTTTTGTTTCTGTCTGCCTGTCTCTCTTTTTCTCAGCACTAAATGGCCATTATAATGTCTATGTGCTTCTCATTACTCAAACGCAAGCTGAAACTAAAAGCATTGACAAAAGGTTTTGCTTGTGTGTGTCAACCGTCATGGTAATAAATAAAAACCCTTTAGCTCAACAGCACATTGCTTTTTTCTCATTGGCAGATACGCAAAGCGCAAGCGCCGCTGCCCTCTCCGCCGCCTCAGCAGACGCTCAGGCAGCACGGCAGCAGCAGGAACAGCATTTGGTTGCCCAGCAGCAGCAGCAACAGCAGCAGCAACAGCAACATAGTAACAATAATGAGCCGCAGCAGCGAGCGCCGTCGCTTGACCCTTATTACCGATCGCTACTCGATGGGTCTCAGGGTGGCCAGCTTTTTGCGCCTGCGCAGCCGGTATCGCAACCAGATCTCTCTCCTGACTTTTCTAACCCTATGGGAAGTTCTCTGTCCCAATCTGGGACTCCTGAAGACAGTGATACTAAGGTGGACACGAGGGGTGCAGCGCCTAAGTTTTTTGGCAAAAAACGGGGGCAAGCGCCCAGATTTTTTGGAAAGAAGCGAGCTATGGCTCCGAAGTTTTTCGGTAAGAAAAGCTCTGAGTTTCCCACGAGTAATTCTGAACAATTGGCTCTGGACACAAGGGGGTCTCCAAGATTTTTTGGGAAAAAGAGTTTCCCCGAATCTAATAGAGAGCAGAGGGGGTCTCCCAGATTTTTTGGTAAGAAAAGGTTTGACGAGAATGTAGACATAGACGAGCGAGCTGCACCTCGGTTCTTTGGCAAAAAGTCGTCTGGTGAGTCAGCAGGAGACAGTGGTTATATATCTGTGGCTTCGAGGGGTTCTCCCAGATTTTTTGGAAAGAAGCAAGATGATGACATTATGATAGCTGCAAGAGGATCTCCCAGGTTTTTTGGTAAAAAACGCTCAGATGACAATGTAGCTTTGGACTTGCGGGGTTCGCCCAGATTTTTTGGTAAAAGGCAATCTAGCGATTTGGATGACGAGATAAGTGTTGCTCTAAGAGGTTCTCCTCGATTTTTTGGCAAAAAGCGAGCTGACGACGAGGATATACTCTTAGGTGAACGAGGGTCGCCTCGATTCTTTGGGAAGAAAAGGGCTAACGATGAAAACATTTCCTTTAGCTTGAGAGGTTCCCCCAGATTTTTTGGAAAGAAACGGTCGGACGAATCAGATGATGATAACATTGGTCTCGTGGCAAGAGGTTCACCCAGATTTTTTGGAAAGAAACGGTCGGATGAAACAGATGATGAAAATATTGGTCTCATGGCGAGAGGTTCACCCAGATTTTTCGGCAGGAAGCGATCAGATGGATTAGACGACGGTGGCAATAGCATTGATGTGGCGACAAGAGGTTCGCCCAGATTTTTTGGCAAAAAGCAATCAAATTCCGACAGCTCTGACAAAAGTTCAGATTCTGCACTGTCTTCTTCAGAATCTGGTAGACAAACGAGGCAGGCGCCCAGGTTTTTTGGAAAGAGGTACGTTGACGAACATCATGTGTCAAAGCGTGCAGCAGCGACTGCCTTTCCGTTGATAATCGAAGCCAGGCAGGCCCCCAGGTTTTTCGGAAAACGCGAGTATCGCTATCCCCCTCGTGGCTCCCCACACTTTATAGGAAAGCGGTTTAGTCTGTACAGGTCTCCCGGGAAATACAGTCTCTCCTCCCCGTACATGTCAGCGAAAGAATTTAAAGAAACTTTCCGCAGATCTGATCCTTTCTTCATGGGCAAGAGAACCGCGGAGCTGAACGAAGAAGGCAGTGATGATTTCACCAATGATGATACTGACGATGAAAATGAATACGATGAGACTGTGCTGTTCAAACGAGGCGCTCCCAGGTTTGTTGGAAAGCGAGGGGCACCTCGTTTTCTGGGTCGCCGAGGTGCCCCGAGGTTTATCGGCAGGAGAGGCGCTCCACGCTTCGTCGGTAAACGGGGGCCGCCGAGATTTATCGGCAAGAGGGACCTTGACTGGTATCAGAAAGCGCTGTGTGCGGAGGCAGATATACTAGAGTTGGATGACTGCGCAGACTTCCTGGGAAACGACGACGTGAAAAGACAAGCTCCAAGGTTTATAGGCAGAAAAAGGGGTGAAGACGTCTCAGAAAGAGACTACGCGCAATTGCTTGAAGCTTTGAGCCGACTGCAGGCTATCAAACAGATCAAAGCGAGGATCCAAAACGAAAAGAGGTTATGGGTGCCAGGGATGGTCGGTAGACGGAGCGAGTACAACTTGGGGCCATTCGACGAATTCGTTGATGAGTCGATGGAGAGGTAGCTTTGTCCATCCAGCGTATAATACGTTATGAAATTATGTTTACCCTTGTTTTTAAGCAAGGCAGAAATCAGTTACTCTGCACCTTTGATAAGGTGATGGGGAAGAATTTTCGGCCTAGATGAAACTAGAGCCGTTATCCGATGGAGATTTTTTTTGTGAAGAGACCTATTGACTTTTTAAGAGGGAGTGTAGTGCATTGTAGGATAAGTCTGCCAAAACAAGATCGAAACTGCTGTTGTCCTTGCGATTTGATCGGCTCGCGTTGTTTAGTTGCAGGTTCAGGCCAGCCAGTCACTGCACGGGTGCGTCGACGCGAGTAGACCAGGGATATTGACAGATTTATCTACTTGCATACTTGTTTTAATCATATATGCCTTTAATTAAATTATTTTGTTTATCTGTGAGCTGCATTTTGATCATTTCAAGTGGGGACTTTGGTTTTCATTTGTGTTCACTTCGTTGTACGACTCCTTTTAAAGATGCATTTGGAAGGATTAATGAGAAGCAATGATATTGATGTGTGATAACGTTATTGACAACAATTAAGAAACTGGAAACCCTAGCCTGGCGTGTGTCTGTTCTTAATGTTTCTGTAGTGTTTGTTGTTGTTGTTGCTGTTGTCTGTGATATTGTAGCAGGTACTGTTAATGTTCTTGTTTTCTGTTACTTCTGCTACTGCTTCCACTATCGTCATTGCTTCTGCTACTACTTCTGACAACGTTGATGATGATGATGATGATGATGATGATGAGGAGGAGGAGGAGGAGGAGGAGGAG